AAAAACTCTTAAAGATAGACATAATTACAGCTATAAATACAAATATACCTATAAAGGTCTATTAGCTGGAGGAAGTCACCCCTAGGGAGGGCATTCGGGTAAGTACCTGTGCCTCAGGCCCAGAAGAGGGGTGGACCCCAGGACAGTCAATCCAGCAAGTTTATACCACAAGTGAGTTAGTTAATAAAGACATCCTTACAGAGCCCATTACACAGAATTAATACACCCAACTATTTATAACACCAAAAATAACAATAGATACCGAATAGTAAACATAACCATACCAGATATTAGACACACCCTATCTGGGTTCCAACCACTTGGTCCCTCAAATGGGATAGGGTCTTCTACCCCTAGGCCTACTCCCTGCCAGGGTCCCTTGCCTGGGGGCGCCTCCCCTGCAGGACCTGCATTCCTGGTAACTCACAGTCCTTCCTCTGGGGGCTGTCAATCTGGCCTCTGGGTCCCCACACCGTCTCAGGCCTCCTGGAGCCGTTGGCTTCAAGTTGAGGGTTCTTCCCTCTGGGCCGTAGGCCCCACATTGGGCACCCAAGGAGCTCCTATGGGAGCTGAGCCCTCACTGACTCTGGTTCCTCAGCCTCACTCCATGGGTCTTTCCCCTTCCTGGGCCCTGCTCGAGGCACCAGGGCTCTTAATGCTGAGCCACACTGTAGGGCTCTAGTTATCCGGCCAAGAGCCAGGGCTAACTTGAGCAACCTTGAGCTGTTCCCAGGGCTGACCCTCCGTGCACTGACCTGTGCACCATATGGGGCCCAAGCAGCCTTGAGCTGCTCCCAGGGCCGGTTCTTTATGCGCCACTTGCGTACTTCCCTGCCCAGCTGCCTGACGGAGTTACGGACCTGAGCCTCCCTGCTGTGGCTCCCAAGGCCCAGGCCTGTGCACCGCTCTGTGCACTGTGGGACCTGCCGGCCCTCTGGGGTTGCAGGCTCAAGCCTCTGCTCACGGCTCCTAGAGCCCTAGCTCTGTGTGCCGAAATGTGCACCGTGACACCCAGCCACCTGCTGGGGTTGCAGGCTTGAACCGCCACTTGCAACTCCCAAAGCCTGGACTCTGTGCACCAAACTGTGCACCATGATGTGCCTGAGTGGTCTCACATTGCTCCCAGGGTTGGGTCTCTGTGCATCGTCCCCAGGTGCCATCCTCAGCCTGAGCTGTTTTGCACCACTCCCAAGGCTTCTCTTTCAGTAGTGGAATCAGGAGCCTTGGGCCTATTGTCCACTGGGGAAGAACTCCCCGGCTTTTCTCACTCCACTCTTCTTAAGTCCCCCAGCCTGCTGAGCATGCTCCCCTTTTATACTCTTGAGGGGCTCCACCCCCAAAGTTCTCTGGACCTGGCTGGTGCAGTTCCCATCCAGGTCCAGTTGCTTCTTGCCCCCTCTCTTTGGAAAAGGGTGGGCATTGCTTCCCTTGTGCTGCCTCCGGATTGGTGGGTGGGCTCCACCAATCAAACAGCAGACCCTTGATTCTGGGCCTTAACCCAAGCTCTGAAAAGGTAAGCCTGCTACACTAACATATAAGAAAATTCCTGCCTCTCTGTTTATCTATATTTTTCCTGTTTGTAAAACTTGTATTGTTTTAAAAAATAAGGGCATGTGCCCTATACATGTGCTCCAGGATGGAGCAGGGGATGCTTTAATTAGAGTGGTTCTAAGACCTGCTCCAGTTAAAGCACCCACAGCATCATGTGTATTCAGCATCCCATGCTTCAAAATGCCAGCGGGCGTGCTTTGACTAAAGCTTATTTGACGAGCTTTGGTTTAAGTGCCCCCGCCACCATTTTGAAATGCAGGGACGCTGAATTCATGTGAAGTAGAGGCTGCTGGAGGGTGCTAATTAGCATGCATTGGAGCAGAGTCCGTCACATGTATAGGTGCCCTAAGATTTGTAAGCTTCATGCATCAGAGTATATGCTGGTCAGCAAAGAATGTTACTGCACAGTGCAGTATAGCTAGCATCAGGGGCTAAAACATGGGTGTTTTAGGCCTTCATTTAAAGCATCTGGCATTGGCCACTGCTGTGGATAGGAACTGAAACTGTGTAGCTCACAGAAAATTGTGATGATGTTGTATATCTTGCGTTCCTAATTGGCAGCATAGGAAAATGGTGTGAGAAGGAATTGTGTTGGGAGGGAAGGCAGCCAGCCAGTCCCAAGTTCTTTGGCTTCACAACAAATGGCTTTTAGGGCATTGCTATTTGAACACCTAATCAAACTGCAAACACATGCCCAAGCATGATATTCTCATAGAAGTGGAATTACCCAGCGGAACTGAAAAATACTGGGCCAGAAGAGCCAGACTTACACCAGGGGTTATTTTGACCCTTGATGAAACTATACTTCAATTTACCTTGCACTATGCTAGACGTAACACATGTAAGAGTTCTGCAGGTTTGGGAACCTGGGAAAAGCTAACACAGTGCAGTTAGCAGAAACCCCTCCTCCAGGAGAAAATTTGTCTCACCATCCCTTCATATTTCAGACACATTAAAGTAAGAAATATAATCCATGACAATCAATCACTGCAGTATTCTGGCTTTCTCTCCTTTTTATGTGGTGACATAATGACTTTTCCCTCAGTTTCTGGCAAGATAATTGAAATAAAATGGAAAATATTTTCTTACTTGTCATAAAATTTGCTGCCAGTGACATTAAGTAACTTTAACTCTTTATGGAAAAGATCCCATCCCCTGAGATTATCAACTCTGAAAAGAACACATTGTCTAAATAACCCCATGTAAACTATAAAAAAGAGCACTGATTTTTTTGGTGTAATAAAATCTTTAACACAATCTTGCCTAGATTTTTAGGTGTGGAATTAGCAGTTCTGATGGGTGGAAACTAGTAGAGTGATTGCTGGATCTTAGTATGCAAAAACGGTATTCTAAAATACTGGATCAGAGGATATTTACTCACTTTTTTAGGTGCTGAGTTCCAGAAATATCTGACACCAAAAAATATCAGAATAAGAAAAATCACCAGTATGCAGAGCGGTCCACAGATCTTGCATCTTTTGCAGATCTTTCTCGTCTTAGTTGATTCTGCCTAAGTAATTACAGAATAACAATATCAAGTGGTTTGCTTACCGTTCCAAGGAATTGTGAAAACACATGTATATCAGACTGCTATTATGTCCTAAGTAATAAATATCATATGGGAAATTCTGTTTTGGTAAAGAAAATCATTAACTTACATCTAGAAAGTGACAGTCCTCAGGTTTCTCCTGAGAATTCTTTTCCATGATCTCTAAGTAAAAATTTCTTCTTTCACTGTGTGGAGACGACAGAGAGACCACTTTTGAGGTGGAGTTACAAATGCTTTGGGCTGCACATACCAGCAGGGAGAAACTCTCTGTTACTATGACTCCAGTATGACATGCTAAAGCCAGCTTTACCATAGGAGGCTATATAGTGCATCAGCTTAAGTGTGAATGTTTGCTGGCATTGAAGGGTATAAGGGCAAGTGGTTGCCTTATGGACTAGGAGAGTGACTAAAGGCAAGATAAAATGCAGCAGCTTTCACTGCTTCTGCAGCATCTGAGCATTTTATAAATTTACTGAAACTAGAGAGAAGTAATTCCTGGCCCCTTCACTGCTTTCTTTTCTTCTCTATCTTTTCCAGCTGTATATCCCATCAGATATTCATTAAGTGCCTTAATGCAGACAGTTTTCCTTTAGTACTCCCTCATGCCTAACACCTGGGTGGATGAAATGAGCATGCCCTTGCCACAGCCCTACTGGAGAGGCACTGGAGTGTAGCTGCTACTTGGGGATCCTTCATCTGACAGCACAAGGGTCACATACATTTCTGGTGTAAGAAGATGATGGAATTCCCCTGACTTCAAAGGACATGGGTTTACCTTGGGGCTGAACCTCAGTGCAAACCTAAAGATGGAGTTCACCCTGGCAGTGTGCCTTGAACGCTCCTCCTGCCTGGAATTTGGAGGCATGCAGCATAGAACAAGGGGTGCAGCTAACCTGTGCACTTATTTTGTCTTTGCTGTGGAATCTCCTTGGCACTCCTTGGTTCCCAGACCATATCCCGGCAGACTGGTGAAGTCCCTCTATGCTGCAAGTGATGATTTTACAGGAGGATGCTTTGGGGGATTTTCCCAGTGAAGCACACAAAGGCTCCACAGGGGAGGAATGATGTAAAAGCGCGTGGCTATTCTGCCCCCAGGTGTGCCAGGAGGTGATGCTGGGAGAACACACCCTGCTCCCTATGCACCCAATGCTGAAAAAAAATGTAATGTGGCCAACAGTTTGATGTCTGCCCAGGGCACATTCAGTATCAATCTTCTTCTTAGGTGTTCTGATAAAGCAGCATTTTTTCGGTATTTGAGGCACATGGAATAGGAGTAAGTATGTAGGGGGGGGTGTTTTTACTGTGTTACTGCTTAGGAAGAGCAGAGACAGTGCAGATGGGCCCAAGGAGTTTACTGAATGCCCTCTGTGTTGATTAGAAATCTGTACTTTGGTTCATCAGGACTAGAGCACTTTCATTATATACTCCTTATATTTGGAACCCGCTTTGCATTTTCCAGTGGGAAGGTCAGAGTACAAAGATGTAGTCAGCAGTTTTTGCATGAAATTCTTTGGTCAGAAAAATTGATTTGTCAAAACTGAAACTTTCATAGGATTTTAGGAGTTCTGATGACTTTTCTCATGTTCAGGATGGACTTTCTGGTCAAAACAAAAGAGAATCCCCCCATGTGAGAACAGGTTAGGCAGTCACATGGGAAGTGGGAAACCCAGGTAGGTACAAGTCCCTGCTTTGCCTGCTTCAGACCCAGGGCTTGACTAACTTTCTAGCTGTTCTCTCTAACTACCAGGGTATAGCCTATCTGGATTTCTTACCGGTTGTTTTTTTCTTTTTTTTGGATTTGTCCCAATGCATGAGGAGAAAATATGTAACATTTTCAAAAGCATGCGAGGTAGAAAAACTGTTTTTTGCCTTCCTGAGTATAGACACAAACTAGTTGTTCACATGCTATACGGCAGAGGTGGGCAAAAAGCGGCCCGTGGGCCAGATGCAGCCTGCCAGGCCATTCTATCCGGCCCACGGGGCTCCTAAAAAATTTAGAAAATTAATATGCATCTGCCCCTGGCTGCCTGTTATGTGGCCCTCAATGGCTTGCCAAAACTAAGTAAGTGGCCCTCTGCCTGAAATAATTGCCTGCCCCTGCTATAAGGGATCCATACTGAACATACACCATAGAAATGCAAACATCAGCACCTGCAGCAGGGATCAAATCTGCCACAGCCTTTTTGATATGGTGTTTGTCATTTGTACTTCAGGAAAATCTTAGAGTGAAGAGTAGGTAGTTGTCTGGTCTAGATCCTGGCACTAGCCACTAGCATGCCCACATGCATCCAGCCAATTGACTGCATTCAGAATGGGAACTGAAGCTATTTTATCTTACCTTGGCTTTATTTCTTCATTATCCTGGATTGGAAAGTGTTCTAGTGACAGAACTGCTGCTCATGAATGCTGAAGGATCCTTTATGTACTGGTCACAGCAGCTTTAATACTAAACCGCTTAGCTGCTCACTGTACTGAGTCCTTTCCTAGAATATTGCTTCAGTTCAGGTTCTGTCTTTGCAGATGGCCTGCTCTAGTAAGCCTGGGATAGTGTGCACCAGGTTTTAGGGCCAGTGCTGCCTTTTTATCAAAACTCTATAGGAAGTGAATAAGAAACCTTGTGACCTAGCTCTGTTCTTGAGGCATTCTTCCTCCCTCCTCCACCCTTGCCTAATGGAAGGGTAAAGCCCTTTGGACACAGACAGAGCTGTCAGGGGGTCTAGTCTGGAACTCTGGTGCTCACTCCCCCCCCTCAGCTGAGAACCACCTCAAACTCTTCTGCTTTCTGTGCCAGCTGCACCTTTGCAACCTGCTTTTGCTTGTCAAAGTACAGAGTGGGTCAAGCATTGATCAAAATGATACTATATTTAAAAAAAAATTGTGTGCAGTATTACCTTGATTGGGAAAAGAGCCCACATGATAGACATTAGTTACTTCAATTAATCCACCACTGGAAGGCACCCAGTTAGGGACAGGGACCCTGCATAAATGAGTAAAGTTGTGTCAGTTGTTCCTGAGCCCTATAGGTGCCTACTGCTGCTCCTTACCTGGGAGGAGAAAAAGGAGGTTTTCCTTCCCTTGCATAGGGGAAAGCATAGGGATGTCAGCCTCCAGCAAAATCTGTGCTTTGTGCCCACAATGTGGTGCCCTTCCTCATCACTTGTTGAGAGCCTGCCTCTCCAGCTATGCCTTTCATACCTATACCTTTCTCATCTCTAGTTAGCTCTTTTCTGTTACTGGTGGGCAGTGCCTCATAATGCTGTTGAGGAGTTGTTTTCTCCAAGCAGAAAACAGTTCATGTTTGTGAAGGGCTGTGAGTGCTCCCAGTGTGTTGTTAAAGATGAAGGTTCCATGCTGAGGCTCCAAGATGTACAGAAGAGAAAAATGCATAGCCTGGGAAAGAGGGCTACGATGGCTTAGTTTAATCATCTTTCCTCTTCCTCAAAAGTCTGGGTTGTCTTAATGGCTGTGAGGGCTTCTACCATAATATAGACAGCTCTGGGCAGTTATAAGAGTCACAACAGCAGCCCCCAAATTATATTTTCAGCAGTACAGCTGTCCAGAATATCTAAATTACTGTGCACTGTGACTGTCCTACCACATCTCTTTCAGGCCCAGACATCACCTATATGCCAGTGCTTTCATGTGGGTTCTGAGAGGCCAGTGATGCACTGGCTGTACTTGGGTCTATTTTACTGCTTAGACCCTTTATTATATGTTCAAAATCCATTAGTACTTTTCAATGTGTAATTCAGTCTAGTAGGGTTGAATGGGGAAGGTGTGAACTACTTTCTAGTTGCTTGTCCTTTAAGGGTGGCTTCAGGGCCTCATACTTTCTTTCTCTCAGTTCTACTCTCTTTTCCATAATTTTTGGAATGTGGCCCTGACCTAATAATTCTGTTTTTCTTGGGATCCATGTTTTTTCCAGAACTGTAAAATCATTTCAACATGGTGCTTAAAACCTGACAGGATATTCCAGATTGTTGCAGGGCACTTGGTGCACCTGTCACTTCTAGAGGAAAGGCTGAGGAAGAACCCTGCAGGTGTGGCAGGGGCCAATTAGATAGTCACCTGACCAGAAGATGGCTGGGTCCAGCCCAGGGCCTTAGCTGGTCAAGGAGTCTAGCTCTGAGAGTCATGGAGAGAGGAGCTCCTGGGCAGCAGGGCTGCAGCCAGGCTCCTGGGTAACATCGGAGCTGGGGTAATCAATTCTAGAGGTCTGAGGAAGGGACTAAGGGAGGAGGAGGTCCCAAAAGGCCTGGGAGCAGGGCAGAGGAAGGACAAAGAGGCCTGGGAGATAGGGCTAGAGAGCCTATAGCCTAGAGAGGGGCAGGAGAGAGCAGAGAGCCAAGAAGCAAGAAGGGATAGGGTGCCCATGGTTTCAGCTGGTCTAGGAGTGGGGCTAGGGTCTAGGGAGACCTAAGGTCAGGGACCACTGCTGGAGACAGAGGGGAGCAGAGAACCCATAGTCCAGCAGGGGTGTAGATAGAGCAAGGGAACCCAGAGATTGGGGCCAGTGGCTTGAAGCCCAGAAGCGGCAGAGATAGGAGCCTGAGAGGGCAGGACACAATGCCCAGGAGTAGCCCACAGAGGTGAAGTGCCCTGGTGGAGAGTGAAGACTGAGATGCTGCACTTGGGAGTAGCCATAAGAGGTGAAGGGCCTAGGTGGAAAAAGGCAAGCCTGGAAGCTACACCCAGGAGTATCTGAGCTAGTTGAAGTTCCTGGGCGGGAAGGCCCAGTCACAGGGACTGAGGCCATGGCCCAAGGGGACTGGCCATGCACATGATTGGTAATATCTGTGAGGCATGGGCTTGGTGTAAGGGATGCCTGAAGCCATGTTATAAGCCCTTAAGGCAAAGTAGAGACACCATACCAACATTAGATTGGGGATCCCTGGGTCAGCTCCCTTTCAAAAGTTCTAAGAACAAGGTGTGGCAAGCGAGGAGAAGGGGAGCAAGCCAGAGGAGTGAGGGCAGAGCAAGGGACTGAGTGGCCACCAGGAGGCATTGCAGTCACCCCTGGGTGAGTGCTTGTTACACAGATAAATCAGAACAGAGCAGAAGCCAAGTAACTGAATGGCTTGTACACTTGACAGAGAGAGGTGTGTAAGGAGGGGTTGTATACTAGCATATAAATATCTCATGGACCATGTGTACAGTCAGACCTGTCTTTACAACCTTTCTTAGTGCTGTCATTAAAAAACATCATTACTTTGCTTTAATTAACATTACTGTCATGCTCACCCCATTTTAAG